AAGTGTAATCTTTTTTTCTGTACGGATTGTTATAAAGAGTACGGATATAGTTGAAAATGTTCAAAATGAATCTTTTCGAGGAGGAAAATTTTCTATCCGCAGCCGAATATTTTACTCTTGTCCCCTTTTAAATCTTCACATATATATCTATCATGTGCTCGGGTTTATTAGGGTGTGGCTGAATGTTTAGATATTTATAATTGTTTTACGCGCAACGTCATTACGGAAACAGACCCAGAATGGGAGTCGAAACTATCTCCAAACTAGTACTTTCCTTTCGCTAGGATAATATAGAGTGAACTGGTTTACGAAGTTGGTGCGTAGCTGGCGAGAATGTAAGTAATGAGCGCGCAAGAGAGTAGGGCTGACAGAAATATCTTCATAAGTATTACGTAACTTCAAAAAGACCTCAGTGAAAATTCGTGTTTTCTATCTTGAGTACATTACATACAAACTACAAGGGCGCTAATTTGAGCGAGAGAGTGAACTAGCTTGGATAGCAGGTGGTTAGGTAGCGAGAATACTTGCAAAAAGTGCAAAAACGAGCCGCGCTGAACGCTAACTTTTCATAAGCACTGATTACACAACTTCAAAAAGAACATTCGTGTTTTCCTGTTGAATCCAAAAACTTAAAAACTACAAAGGCGCTGTTCAGTTTTACACGTTTTGCATGGCACTCTTCCTTTCTTTTTTCATTTGTATATCAGAGACGAAGACAAGCAAACCTAAGTTACCACTCTGGCATAGTTGTCTTTCTGGTATAAATTTAATTGGTTCTTTGCTCAAAATTCCAGTCGATGTCAGTTTAACTAAAATGCAGGAAAAATTTATCCTTCCATTTTTTTTCGGTGTAAGCAATTACAATTAAAGAATAAACAGATGAAGGTTCTAAGAACTACATACAAAGAGGGCAGATTTTTATATTTGTCGCTAAAACACCAGCAGGAGTGCTCTTATTCGTTGACGAACAGGAGGAAAGAAAACTATTTTTTTAACGTTTCCATTTTAATCAGTTGCAAAACTACTCTCCCTAACCTCAGGCATCTTCTTTGGTTTATATAAACTCTTCGGATGAATATAACATATATTTCACCGACAAGAATATTACCGATTTGAAAGCTATACCCAAATTCTGGTTGGATCATGAAAAAGAAATGAAATATTTTACGTTTGATTTATCTTATGCCAGAGAAACGACACGAATGTTTTTTTTTTTTTAATAGAGTTCGTCGCAATCCGGTGTTCACCAGGTTTCCAATTTTGTAATGAAAATGCATTGAGGTTGTTAATACGAGCAGCTACCATAGACAACATTGCAAAGCAAGTTCATGTATTAATTTCAAAATTTCGTTGAAGTAATATTAAATAGATAATGTGACTTTCGCATGGTATAACTTGCCGAGGAGCTTTCTCTCGCTTCTTTGGAGTTCAAGAAGGGAAAAAGAACTACTTGTTATTTTAATTTAAATTGTAATCAAGGTAACATATATTTACAAGAGTTCCATAGTTTCCTCTTGATATAAATAAAATGATTGAAAGCGGTGGATCAGACAAAGATCACTGAGATCGAGAAACCCATTACAATCAAATGTAACTGACTTTCTCCGTGCCATGGCAACGAATGAGTGAATTGAAAGCTGCAGTTTGAACCTCATTTATGAAGAGTGTTCAATACACGATAACCTACTATGATGATAAAAATAATAATACTTTATCCGAATCAACAAATATTTTACAGGCGCCGTAATAATGAAAATAACTACATGAAAGATGAATTTACATAATTCTTTATTTATAGCATGAAAAACAGCTGAACACATATAATTTAGAGTTACATTCCAACTTGTCAGTCAGCTCCTCAGCAGCGTTCTTCGGCAACAATTGGCAGCAACTGCGTGATAAAAGATTTCTTCTTTCAAGTTTTCTTGCAGCAGGTAAAATCCATTTAAATTTATGACCAGAACATATTTCTAAAACGCTTTACATAACCATTGAAGAAGTTGTACTATTTTCTTCAGTTAGCCATACGATTTTAATCCAAGCAAAAGTGAAAGCCGGATTAGTCGGTTGTAGCTTCCAAATATCATTTTGCGTTCAATGATCATGATTTTATGTGAAATTTTCTCTTTCTTCGTCATATGGTTGACCAAACTGTTCCATAAAATCTAATAAGGGTGGAAGTTTGATTTTCTACAGTTTTTAAAATGAATGGTAAGATATCTGCTTCGGTTTTATTAGAGGACGGATCGTTTGCCAAATCGCGAATGGGGTGAAAATGTGATTCTTCGTTTAGAACGTTAATGTGACCGCATGCGACCACGAGCTTGGAAACGATCATGCAGTCACCGCAAAATGATGACATATAGTCTGAAAATAACATGCAATAAGCTTCAAAATGGCATTCGTTTGATAACTAACATTTCATAAAGAAAGCTTGTATAAAAGATGAGTTATGGATGGTCCTCGCAGGAAATTGTAGAAAAACTGTTTTGATATTTGGCTAATTTCCTCGTTGAAAGGGAAATTGCAGAATGACGCTGATATCAATGCAAATACAAATGAAGAACACTTAAGACATAAATTATGATATGAGTGAGCTGCACAGTGATTACCAAAACCAGTCTCAACAGTACGCATGTATTGACATCTTATCTGAAATTTTCTATTCTACCGACACGGTATTGATAAAAGATTCGAAATTGAGGACCTTAAGCGATGCAGTTTTAGCAGGTGGTCGATTTATTGTGCTGGGGAGTACCAAATTCGAGTTTGTCTAGCATTAACAACATTATACAACGTTGTTTGTCAGTTCTAGTCTTAATTTGGTTCTAGTAATCGAGATATTACCTACGCCAGACAGTTAATTGCATTAGTTGGTCTGTTGCAATTATTATTGGGCAAGAAGATTCTGAGACATTTCTTATGCGAGTTTTTCTACATCACAAATCTCCTGGATTCCCCACCGAGAAAGTCACGTCTTTCAAATACATGTTTTAATCCTTACCAAGCGCTTGGATCTGGCCGGGTAAGTATCACAATGATTTATTCATACTTCAAAGTATTACATATAAGATGATATGATGGTCTTGGAAAAAAGACCACGACAGTCACATTTTTAAAAATTGTGTTCATATGTCATGCAACGCGTAGCGCAAAAAAAATAATTATTATACACCATTTTGAAACTCTAATTCAGCATGGAACGGATCCAAAATTTCAGAAAATAACCGTAGAATTTTCACACATTTGTCTATATTCATTAGCGTATCTTTTATTTAGTGAAACAGATGTCTTTAGAAACGAGGAGTTAGGAATAATAATAATTTTCTAAATCGATCCCCTGTCTGCCTTCATGACAAAAATAAGACTATCATTATTATTTCAATTGATGGCTTGGCTATCAAAAATTGCTCTGAGAGGAAAAAAAAATGTCAGTTTTTAGAAGCATAGGATAGGATGATCTCTCCAATTCATAGCGGATAATTAATCATAAAGCTTGACGATCTCTTGAACACAGATAATAGCAAAGAATATTATTTTGTGACTATATGGACTTGGAGCTTTCATTTACAGTTGATTGTTTATATATTCATGGCAGATTATTTATTTTTCATGAGTAGATATAGCTGGAATCGAATATCCTTCATCAGAAACGGGAATTGGTTGTTAACACACGCGATAATATTTCGAAGTCTATATGTAATCGCCGGAGAGCAACGTTTTCTTTAAGCTATTTTAGATTTTAGTTGTCTCTTTTGGTGAAGTGATTCAAGCCTTCGAGTCGAGAGAAGAGACGGATTGTGGTCTGCAAGTAAAGAAGCTTGTTCTGCATCCTCGATGAATAATTCAGTACGGGTAAATTGAGTCGATTAAATTCTACGTTATTAAGAACTGTCGAGAAATTGAGATCAGTATCTAATAGCCAAGCTGGGCTGATATGTTATTATCAACACGTCATGTATGATTTATCTCGAATATTCATTTTTGACGATAAGATTCCTTCACTGCACGGGGAATAAAGAAAACCACTGAAAACAGCTGCCTTGCCCTCTAGAGGAACATGTAACTTACATCAGGCTCCGTTGCTGCGGTGGTAGCGCCCAATCCGTTCTTTGAGACACTTAAAGTTCGCGAAACTAAATATCTACCTCGAAAATGTGTTTACATTTTAAATCCCAGATCAAATTTGTAATTCTCCTTACTGTCAATCATACTATTCTTATAATGTTACTTCAGAGATTTAGTATTGGATCAATTAATTATCCCCAAATTGATAGTTTTCTTTATTCTCATCACTTATCTGGTTGATATTGTATTGATATTGTAAGGAGAAATTCTGTCTTGGTCACTCATGGGAGTTAAAGGGTTAATTGCAGTTAACCTGCAATGATAAATTGGTCATGTATCATCCGCCGTCTCAAATGTGGTCAAGGTCATACGTGATTAATATTAAAATAGAAAGTTATTTTTTGTTAGTGGTGAGTTATCAGTTAGAGCGAATATGGTCACTATTTGTAATAAACAGGGCGTCACAGCTGTGAGAAGTGATATCACAAATTTACGCAGGGGGTCTGCATGCATCTGGCTAAATCAGTAGATCAGGGTGAGAGCAGAAGAATGTAAGCAGAATTTTAATTCAACGAAAGGTCAGTACAGCGTGATATCCTGTCACAAAAAAGGCAAATGTAAAATGAAAACAGCTCATGTAGATATTTGGGGTTTTTACCTCGTGGAAAATATCACTTACCACAAGGTAACTTTGAATATATATTTTGAAAAATGATATGCGTTGGGGAAATTTTATTTCTTAGTACAATTTTCGAATCTCGCTATATTTACCTTCCGTTTAAAAATCCAATCGTTTGTTTGCGTTGCAGGGTTGTATTTGTAAAGAAGCGTTTTCTTCAAAAAAATGTTAAGCTGCCTCTCTCCATTGAACTTGGTCTTGGTCTTGGTCTCTGTGTTTCTGCTTAAAGCTTCTCGTCTAATTACTTAATTGTGGTGGTCGATTTAAAGGTTGGACTCTTTATAGAGTGACAAAACATAGCTTCTTATATTCATGTTTTTTAAAATCGTTTTTGACTGCGTCGATGAATTAATTTGATATTGAGTGAAGTCTTCATAATAAGATTCCGTAAAGTTTATGATCATCTTCTGCATGAATCCTATCTCAGAACTGAATAGTTGATAATCTGAGACATTCAAGAAACATGTACGTGTCAATGTTTTAGGACTGTTTCTGAAAGATAAAGAAGAAAATTAGAAATTAACTAATTCTAACAATTATTTTTGCTTATAATTGGCTTAAATTTCTAAAAATTAAAAGTTAAATTACATACTCAAGGTATTTACAATAAACAGGAAACACCAGATAAACACCAATAGCTTTTCAGTCTTTTTATAGACCTGAAAACCAAATATATCGCGTTTATTAAATGATCTCATCCAAAAAAAACGGCTCGTTGTCTCCACGTCTTTCTTGAACATCCTCTGACAATAAGCACCTTTGAGTGATTCTCTTCGAAGGAAACCACCATACGAAACCTCTCACCTTCTTCAGATGATGTGATAAAATGGCTGACACACAGCACTTATCGAACAATGTAACTATATCGTCGTTTTCAGAAAGACTGAAGTATTTTCAATGTGTGTCACAAAAGAGCAAAGTTAATGATATGTTTTGTCTGAAGAAATAAACCCTTTAAACAATGCAGACGCTTTATTTAAAGGCACAATTTGGTAACAAATAAATTGCTGTGCATCGACGATTTACATAACAATACATTGTTATTATGTGATGCTTTGCATGAAAATAATTGACGTGCTTTGATATACTTTAATATTTCATTCGATGATACGAGGCTAGTGGCCTCTTCTAACCATTTGTTGGTTAAGTACTTTCAGGTGTGTAATTCGCTTAACATCCCACGCACTACAATACTCGTCTACTAGAAAAATCTAGGTGAGGTTGACAAATGTCGATCTAATATAAAAGTTGTCTAAAATCATCAAGGAGAGAAGGTGTCGAACATCTAGGGTGGAAAACTGTGAGTAGTTTGTGTCCAAACCTGTTCGTCTAATGCCATCACAGAGTAACTGCCTTGGTAGGAGTTGAGCAATCTTTGCTGTTATATGAATTTGTCAAACTAGCTTCGTTTAATTCCTCTTCAGCGCGCATGGGAAATGATCGATAGACAAATATATGCAGTTTCTGCTTTCTGTGAGTCTCCGTATAAAAAATCTACTTTATCACAGTTGTTTACCGCCCAAAATCGTCGTAGTCTTTTTTTCGTTGTTGATATGGTAGACTAGCAATCATGAGTCTCAGAATTGAAACTGTTGTCAAATACTTGCATAAAATCTGATGTCAATTTAATAGCATGTGTGTATTCCAGACGTATTGATCGATTATATAGTTGCATGTAGGCCGAATGCAGTAAAGTACAGACCGTAGAAAATTTTGAAAAATATTAAACTGATGGATATCTATTCTAAACGACGGGTGAAAATTCAATTTCAAATGTAAGACCAGCGGAACCTTTCACTAACTAAGTCGACCAACAGAGCGCTGATAACTTATGAGCTTCAATGGCATAATTAGGCAACTCGGCGGTAAAGCATTTCTACCGGAACACTTGGAGTCATATAGTTCCATGTAGTTCCATGTCTGACATATAAATCGCTGTGTATGACAAATCAAGCTATTTTCCTGTTTGCATTTCATTGTTTACGCGACTGTTATCAGCTGTAGTGAGTCAAGTCAAAAGGACATAAAATTGTCACATAAAATTAGATAAGGAACTTCAAGTGTTCAACTATTTTGCTTGAAATATTGAGCGCAATCTTCCCAACTGATGATCACACTCTTCCAAACTGATGATTATACTCTCATAACACGGTTCTTTGTTAGTTTTTCATGAACATTTAGTGATCTATCAAGAAATTGTCACCTAGATGATAATTTTCATCTTTCTGTTTGAGAGTTTTATACTGTTGCAGATCAAATTTATAACTTTATCCCTAAGTCATGACAAGTCATGATCGGTCATGATCACTCAAAAGAACTACGCATTATAAATTTGATTGATATTGAATCAAACAAATGCTATTGGTTACTTTCATCAAGCTTTCAGACATTTGCTACTTCCCTAACCCTCCTAAAGTGATCTCCGAAATACCGTGTGCAAACTGGTAGTTGAATACATTGGAAGAGGGGTGAGCGGCGATAGAAGAGCGTGTGTGGTCTCCCAAAGATGCTAGTTCCAACTACTACCACGTTCCTACCCTGAACTCAGGGTTACCATAAAAGCCATATAGCACCTACAAATCATTATACAAGCAGTTTTAGATGTCACGTTCACAACTCAACTCTAGATCTGATGAGTGAAGAGTGCCATCCCTATGGCAAGAAAACCATCACGAGATTTCGTGATACAACTTAACACTCGAGTTAAGTTATCGCTTCTCGAGACGAAAAAGCAAGTGCTTTTTTGTTTGTTTGTTTAAAAGATTCAGGTCAACATCTTCGTACGTCGGCTTATAGGTTTTGGGTTCCACCAAACAAGAATTTGCGCATAATTTGCCAAGGAAAATGGAGCGTGGGCTGTCGGAACACGCTTTATAGCCAAAGGCATTTAGGTCAGTTTGAAATTGATACTCACATCGAGAGTGTTTACAGGTTATTACGTTTTTAGAACAAAAGGTCAAGTTCTGCTATCATGTGTTTGGATCAAAGTTTGCTTTGTTGATCAAAAGCTCGCGTCCGATATTCTTGACACGACTTAGCAGGAAATATCATATTGGTTCAGTTAAATTCCCAAGTTAGACAATTCAGTGGTGTGTTTGGCCATAGAGCTTCTTACTGAGTTGAATCACTAATCAGGGGAAGAGTATTTAGAGATTCACGGAAAATTAAGGTACAGTGTAGCAACGAAATCGTCTATAGAATCAATCGGTCTTAGGTGCTATGCAGTTGAAGTCAGTTAGAGTCCTTTATGAAAGTGATTGTCCACGAATTCACTAAGATCATCCTTAAGAAATTTTCTTTACTGAAAAATGTTCGATGAAGTCGTAATGAGGACTACCTGAACTAAGCACTGGAGCCCGATTAAGCCGAAGCCCCAGGATGGCCATGAAATAAATTTAAAACTTGTTTGCTTTTCATTTTGATGCCTTCAGAAAACATTGCATCTAAATCAATTTGTCCGGAAATAACTTTAAATATCTGCTGTTCCACAAATCACTGAACACTCAAAGGCTACTCCAGTTACTCGAGATCAACACCTTTCACGCAACGACACATTACAACTAAAACGGATTATAACATTCCTCTATAATTTTACGACGAAAATATACGCATGCAATCGAACATTTTTACACACATTCTTTCGAAGCAAAGTATCGACGTCAGCATCGACAGATGGATTACTGAATTTTCAATTTTATGACACGAATCTATCTTTCTTTTCGAGAACTGCATTTTTAATACTCTGGAGTCGATCTCATATTTTTTTATCGCGTGCAATCCATCCAAGCTACCCGAATTATAATTTGAAACATTACAAAGGACCTTCGTAAATTTTGAACCAAAAACAAGTTACACGAGCTGAAATCTAAATTTAAACCATGATATCGCAAATATTAATGCCCACGCATAGGCCTCCACTCCACTTTTCAGTCCTCGACTTGAGCTAGGTAAATTTTAAAGTTAAAGGGATTTGTCACCGAGGTGGGAACTAACATTGAAATTAATCTAGAATCATTTTACACCTTAACTAAGTAGACGTTAAGATTTCGGCTTCTTTGACTCAAATCCAATTTCCTGAATCTATATCAGTTTTAAGTATCAATTGAGGAATATTATTCTCTTACATTAATCGTGTGCATTGGTGCATCTTGAACGGTTCTAATGAGTTCATGAACCTCTTTAAATCCCTCTTTTCATTTCGTCAGCAGCATACAGATGTCAAACAGCACAGTCATACCGCCTATTAACCTCATACAAGAAAATGGCTATACTGAGGTGCCAAGAACACCGCTGGTCATAATTCTAGCGTTTCTGTCATTTAGCACTGTCCTCGGGAACTGCGTGATATGTTTTGCCATCTACAATCATCCTGCCTTGCGTCATGTGACCTACTTGTCAATTTTCAGCCTGGCGATCGCGGACTCTTTAGCAGGTCTGGTTGCCATGCCAAGCTACATCTTGAAAAAGTTTACATGGGATGAACCAACGCAGACAATTGTATGCGATATTTTTCGTTCTTCGTATTTCCTGACGGGTTACGCTTCCATTCTAAGTTTATCAGTCATCAGCGTGGAGCGCCTTATTGCAGTGAGAAATCCGCTGAACCACGTAATTATTGTCTCACGTCGTCGAGTAGTGCTGGCACTGGTCTTTGCATGGGTGGACGCCCTTCTGGTTTCGTCACTTCCTTTCTTCCCATGGGAACCAAACAATCCGTATAAGGAATGCAGCTACAGTCCGACTCGCTGGTGGAGCATTATGGTCATCATATCCAATGTAATTACTCCATTTCTTGTCATTGTGATTTGCTACAGTCTCATGTATCTAACAGCCCAATCCCATGTCAAAAAAATGTCAAAGAACAGTAGGCAGCTATCCCACAACAGTAAAAATTCCGCCAAGAATCACAAAGAACGCCGAGCTAACATTACCATCATGATTGTGATTGGCGTCTTTGTGGTGTGCTGGTTTCCATCCTGTTTCTATTATTTCCTTCAGAAAACCTGTCCGCAATGCTTCTCTGAAGCATTCAAAGCCAAACAGAGTCTTGTCAATGCTTTAGTGAAGGTTCTGACTTTCACTTCGTCCTTTTTGAATCCTATAATTTATTGCTGGAGAAGTCGCGAGTTTAGAAGCGTATTTCTGAAAATTTGCCGCCGAAAGAAGCGCAGCTTTTCTAATTCATTTTCCAGTTATTTTAACATTCGCATTTCACGACGGAACAGTAATGATCAAACAAGGCCTCGACGTTCTACAGCAGAAGAAGTTGTTATTAACAAAGAAACTCTAGAATTACTAGTAAACAGTAAATCAAGTAGTGTGTAAAACGTTTTACTTAAAAAAAAAAGTTTTACCTGTTGATCACGGTCTGCGGTTGCCCCTAACATTTGTATCAAGCCAGAAACTTTAGAAGCTACTCATTAACAAACAGATGCCATGTTACTGTGCCTCTGTTTAGTAATAGATCATTGATGAGAAGTTAGAGAAGTTATTAATACTTGAAGATAGATAGAGAATGTAATAGATGGTGCGCGTGGATATGGAATTTCTCTTCGAGTGTTTTACTCGATAGCTCACGAGAGAGCGCAGCGAACGAGTGAGGTGTTGAGTTGAACACGAGAAGAGAAATTTCACATCTACAAGCAACCATGTATTATTTTTTTCATCATATAAACACAATAGCCCTTTACTGACAAGAAAAGACCAACCTTGTGAATGAATGAAAATAAAAGGATCAACAATCCTTGAATAACAACCGAACAGTGCGTTGGTGCTAAGGCTCAAATGAAAAATGCGTTGAAACGCTACAAAAACAAACAATGGACGTAATTTTCAATATAAAAAAATTCTCAGTTATTGACTTAATCCTTACCAAAGCCACTGAATACGTAACTTTCGGTTTTTCTTTCCGTATTTTGGTGTTCTTCCCCATCTAGGAAAGTTTGAACTGTCACTGAACACACATGTAAAAATACGAAATTTTTCCACGTGTGTTATTACGGCTTTTCTCAGGGCCGGAAATCCTTGTATAATACCGTAGTATCTATGATAAAATTCTTTTCCACGCCGGCAGCCATGTAATATCCTCTGCACCAAAAAGATGAAAAAGAAATAGAATCCTTAAAAAGAATTTAATTAGTACATTAAAGCTGGACAAAAGTTGACGAGGGGAACGAAAGTAATTCCAGACTTACCCTGTGGAACCATCCTCCTTAAAATTCAAGTTCTTGGCCGACTTCCCTACAAAACAGCAGTATATCGAGGCCAGTATGAAGGACAATCCACAACCCACCAAATTTAAAACAAGCGAAGGACCGATCTGGTAGTTAATTGAGTTTGCGAAGACAAATGTGGGAAGGAAATACCGCACTTAAGTCGGTTGGCCACCGACACTGAGGTGAACCATTGTTTTAGTGTATACTAAACCGAAGATAATATGACACAAAAATAGTACACATCACAATCGAGTTCCTCGGAAGTGAATAGCAGAGGATATTCGGAGTTGGAGCAGCCAATCAGAGCACACCTTCCAACGCTATTCACTGTTTTAGTATACACTTATCATGACTATCATCTTAGCTAATACGACCTCACTAAATTTTAACCCTCAGGGTAGAATGTTTTCTTTAATTGAGAAGAGTTTACTAGAATAGATAATAGCTCAAGTTACGCCTTAATCACTGTGTGATCACTGTTACTGCCTTATGTAAATATCTGACATTTTACACTTGGATGTAAAGTGAAGTGAGTAATGGATACACAAGTCCTGTAGATAATCATGTGAAGTTAGGCTTTAAAATATTTCTGTGAAAAGCATTTTTTTATTCGAAGCCCTCACTCATGTTTTTACCATTAACGATACAATGCAGCGCAGTTTTACCAATTATTTTACACTAAAGCTTAATGATGCAACTCTACAATAGTTATTTTACAACTAAACAACATATAACTGCACAATTATTACCCTTGTGAAAAACAACGACACATTTAATCAGTAGGGTTGCGCCTCAATTCAAAATCCAACAATATATCCTGGGTCAATTACAATATTCCTGCAATTTAAATCGACACTAGAAATCATTTATCACTTCGTAATTATCGCTGAATTATTCCTTTTATGCATTTAATTTCAGCTCAAGAGGGAAAACAAAATATTTGGTGTATAAAATCGTAAGGGAGCAGAAGGGCAAGGCTATCTTGAGAGAAAATTGCATCCAGCTTATTTTCACAAATACAAACATTTTTAAGAACGTTGCTTTTGAAGTATGACGATAAACGTCGCGAGGCACTAATTTCGAATTGAGAAATTTATTATTTTTTACACATATCACCCTAATTATGCATAGTTTAACAAATTACAAAACCAACAGCGGATACCAATATAAAGTTATTATCAAGTTGAGATTTCAAAGTTACGATCAAAATGACTCTCGTTTCTTTGAAGTTCGTTGGCCTTATTTGGGTTGCCTCTGGTATTTCTTCAGTGCTCCATGGCCAAGATTCTAATGTTGAAATGTTCAAATTTGTGAGCGGTGAACAAATAGTCTTTTCAAATTTCGCGGTGTATTTGAATAGCCTTCTAAATGTTTCCGCCACGGAATCACACTCCACCGAGACACCTGAAGATTGCCAGGATCTTTGCCTAATCACCCCTCACTGCTTCTCTATCAATGTGGCTATCCATTCTAACTCTGAGAACCGTCGACTCTGCCAGCTGCTGTCCACTAATAAGGAAGGACAGTCTGAGCACTTTGGACCAAACAACTATTTCAACCACTTCACGACAGTGGTAAGTATTTTTATTCTTTGAAAGGATTGTTTAATGCAAGCTTTCTTCTTGAACACCGTCATTTCGAGATTTCTAGATCCAAAACTCTGTCTTTTTTCACATTTTGTTTTCAGATAAAACAAAATTATTCATTTTCTCTCCGTCATTTCTCCGCCAGCAAACTTTTCATTTTTAAAGACAGTTTCGTTTTGATCCCACCAAGGTAAATAGAATTAAAAAAATACTTTTCAAAGGATTAATCATAATATCTCGGTGAGCGTATTTCAGATTTTCAAGTGTCATCCTCTCTTGTTTGTCACTGTAATAATTCCTCTATAAACCTTTTTTACAGTTCCTTTTTTGTTTTTGTTTTTATTTTTGTACTCTACCTCTGTGTTTGGTTCTTAATTTTTTTCAAATTATGTCAGCTCTTTGTATCTAAGCTGCATTTTGGAATTTCCCTACTTTTTGTGGCGCCTTTTCATCGCCTTTAAAACATTCCTTTTAAGCCTGCGCCATGCTTCAGTCAACCTTGTTTGCGCAGGGGAACATGTCATCAGCACGGCACAAGCAGCAATTTTACCTGTGAATGTGCCCCTGGCCTTGAAGGACAATTCTGTGAAATTGGTAAGGGAGCATTTTGCCAAATATGTATTTTCTTCAATATTTGATTTTCAAAAGAAACGAGAGAAAAAACTCAAAAACTCAACAATTCTGTGAAATTGGTAAGGGAGCATTTTGCCAAATATGTATTTTCTTCAACATTTGATTTTCAAAAGAAACGAGAGAAAAAACTCAAAAGCAAGCAAACGAAGAAATAAACAAACACAACTGTGAACCGATTAAGCTTTTTCGGGATCTGGTTCAATATGTAAACATATGGTTTTTACCCTATCTTTACGGAGTTCTTAACTTATTCTTTTTCAGGCGGTACAGGATGGGTTAAACTGAACGTCCGGGGACCAGTCTGTATTGGTGCTAAAGGAGATGCCTTTGGGCGTGTGTCACCTCAGTTTGTAGGATACGTTGCCGCTATTAAACTTGTTCACGTCTCTGGCCTTTTATATAACTCAAGAAATTCTCCTGGAGCGAAATGGGGACACGCTAGAAACAATAAACTTGGAATCCTTATCACTGACGACCAGAATCAAGTCAAGCTTCCCGAAAACTTTACGGGTCCTCAATTTTACACCATGGCAGGCAACACAGCCAGTTCACCGGAGTTGGTGTTCCCCAATTTTACAACGCCCAAAATTGTCTCGACGGATTTGGAATTGAGATTGTGGTATTTGGAAGACCATAATGACACATCTGAGGCTGATAACAGGGGTGAATCTTGTGCAGATGTTTTCATGTTTTACGTGTAAAACTTTGAATTGATTTCCGATCGGTCACAGGCGTAGCAAGCAAGTGCGGGTACAGGTGTCTGTATCCTTACCCCTCCCCCCTTCTTATTCCACATAGCCTTTGTAAAATATTAATTTTTGCGAAGTTTTTTTGAAGATAATTTTTTAAATATTGGTTTACGAAATCGCGCGAAGGTCGACAATCTACTCGGCGTAAACCGTTTCCAGAGCTAGATAAAACATTTGCTGACCATTCTCACCGCGTGAATACGAACCCTCTGATGTCCAAGGATGAGCATCATAAATCACTGTATGTAATGAGCACGAAAATTTTTAACTGATCAGTCCCTTTTGTTGATAGTACTTGTTCGTTTATCCCTGTCATTAAAGCTCCAATCGCAAAAACGTATTCTGAAATGTATAAATAATTTGATAGGCTGACCTGCCCGTCAATCACAAAATGAATTTGAGATGTACTTTTGGTTGCTGCGCGAGTGATCAAAATTTAAAAATAGCACTCAGAAAATGTATTTACATACTCCATGAAAGAAATAATTTCTGTCCTTCCGCTGTAAATGCGAACAAAAGTACGTGTGTGCAAATGTTATGTGTGGAAAATCAAACCCATTCTAAAATAAGATATTCCTAGAGTCCACGATAATTCTTCATGAGGAATAATTTAGATATATCAAAAGGATGAAAAGGTATAAAATAAGGAAGCTTTTTCACAATGAAAGAAAAGAAGTGAGCTTCGTCTTAACCCAAGTGTGAAATAAAACTAGCAGCATTTTGCCTTGAAGAGACAGTTCCTTGATTTTTATTATTCATCTGTTTACTGTTGGAAGCCAAGTGTACCTCTATCACGGAGAAGGATAATTGTACAATTCAGTTCTCCTTTAGTAAATCAATTTTGGCTGGCTATAGTAATGGTTGTCCGGTAATCTTATTGGCCTTTTTACTCAATTGAGCCTCACTTCAAGAGGTAAGGTTAGAAAATTGGTATGAAATATGGTATTTATTGGTCTAAAATACGGTCATGGAAATTGTATTCCCCCTCCGCTCCCCCACCCCCATTCCCTTCCCTCCCTTACCCCCCTCTCTCGCCTTCCATTTACGAGGCGTATGGATTATAAACGAGATTTTAGATCTAAAACCATGGAGCACGTCGTGATCAAAGAAATCTGGCGACACGATGGCAGTAAATTTGACATAAAAAATAAAAAATAAAAAAAAAACTACAAAGCACGCCGTGACTAACCCTGAGTGATCACCTTCATGCTGTGCTGGAGACAAAATGGCGGAAAGTTGGTCGCCTCGGCCATTTTATGTGTGGGTGAAAATTCCAGGCACGCTGTGTCGAATCATTTCTCCATATTGGCATTATCACGCACAAAATGGCCCCGAATTAAACAGAAAACCATGCGGCGGTGAAAAACATGCATACTAAGGCATTATTTTAAGTCCTGTTTCAGACCCAAGTGGGAAAAATTATTTCCCTCGTTGGCGCTGAAATCTCAATTTTATAGGAAGTCAGAAACATAAATCAAAATTTGTTTGTCCTCAGCTCGCAAAGGTGGTAAAAATTTTGTGTGATGTCTTATATTCAAAATCATGATAAGAATTATAAAGATTATATCACAAATGGAGATTCTCATTGTAATATAAATTGAAACAGAAAGACAATATCACAAAATATCTCAGCCACATTTATTCCCTTAAGAAATAATCTATGTTATTTACCAGCTGGTAGGTGCCCGGGGCCGCAAGCACGGGGAAGCGTCTTTGAGCCTGGGGTCATTGTTTTCAAAATACAAACAGACATCCCAGCCGACAAATAAAATACACTTATTAATAGATTTATTAGTGAATCTTTTTTCTTCTCGAATGTAGAATATTTAAGCTACTCTGCAACTTTCGGCATGTTATGCCTCAAAGAACTTAAAATGGGGAGTGCCTACCGTTTGCTTGATTGACAGCTCAGATGAGACCAGATAAAGAAATGATGAGAAGATCACTATCTAATTTATCACTCGTAAAAATAATTAAATTTTAGGGAAATATGATTCTACCTGCTGCCTTTCATAAATAAGGAGGTATAAAATGAGGACACTTTTTTACAAAAGCAGAATAGAAGTAAGCTTCGTCGGACCACAAGTCAGTCGTGAAAGAATACTGCTAACATTGAATCATGAAGATATTTCTCCTATTTTTGTTGTTTACCTGTTTACAGCTGATGGCCGAGTCTGCCTCAATCAAGGAGAAAGGTAACTGTACAGTACAGTTTGCCGTAAGAATTATTTTTTGGTCTTTCTGAGTGGGTGTGTGCGTGTCGCTCTCACCCCTCTAGTGCTTCTGTAACCTTTTCGAGAATCCAATAAGCCAATTCAGTTATTCAGTATAGCACTCACGGCAAACGGCACGCAGCAAGTTCTTGTCATCGTTTACCCTTTTTAAACTAAATTATGTTAAAATTTCTGCATTCCCTCTGAAAAAGATCTCTTCAGCATCCACAACTTCCTCTCTCTAACTAAGCCCCCTTCAAGAGCAAATGTTTGATCGTTTCGCATCTTTTGCAAATGCACAAAAGTGAAACAGGAAAAATTAATTCAGCGGCGATGCGCTCGTAGGCTCACTTTGCTCAATGTTTGCCGGATCAAACATCGCCTTTACTTAGTCACTCTATGTTGTGTGCTACAAACGCGATGTTGACAGAACATGTTTTAGCTCAATCAAGTTTTTCAACGTTTGGCTGATCCTCTCTTCTCCATGATGGTAAACCTATAACCGATTCACATTGGTTTTTTTCGATTCCCTTCAAAATTGGAATAAAAAAGACTTCAAGTATGGTATTTAAAAAAATCCACGAAGCTTAAATCTTGTCACATCAGCTTGGAAAACAACCAATTTGGGATCCACCTTGGTAATCGAGGACATTAATGCTTTTGGTTTGGGAAGAAAATATCCTGTGGCTAATGTTATCTTGACGTAGTATAATAGGTATATAATTTCTAAAGTTACAGTACTTTAAAGTACTGTAACTTTATGAAGGGTGATGAATTTTTAAAATTACCCAAAATCTTTGTAGAATGATGAATTTTTAAAACAATTCATCACCCTACAACGATTTGGGTAATTTTCAAAAAGGAAAAGAAAAAGAAGAAATGAATATGAACTTTTATGATTAAAAATCATCGCCCTATATGTTATTGAAACATCACTTTTTGTTTCATTATAGAGGAGATTGCAGGTATTCTACGTGAACCAGCAGGGTGCACAGATGAAAACCCCACCTATTGCAGCACATTTGGTAAACAATACTGCACAAATGTACGACTTTTTTCCACTTACAGCAACTTCGATGACTTCAAAAGAAAGTGCTCCGCCTTTTGTGGACTCTGCTAGGAGAATAGGTACGCCTAAGGATATCTCTTTTCTCAGAAACAATAGGGTTGCTTATTTGAACAAAGTTTAGCTGATGACTGACAAAACCTCGTTCTGAGCCAACTTAAATATAGCCGAACCTTTCACTTGAACAATTGAGAGCAGTTTCAACAGGGCCGAAAACTAATAGTGGATTGACCATTTTTAAATTATATCAACCCTTTTAAGGAGGGTAAAACCGCGTAAATATCAGTTAGGTACTATACGTAAAAACCGCGTAAAACCGCGGTTGTGGGTTAGAGCTCGAGTAAATAATAACCCCATTGTTATGCTTGGTTTCGTGGTATTCTATAGGGTGCACGATGGAGTTAATGCCTATTTTATCATCTTCATTGGTATACTTTTGCTGTTTTTTTAAGTTATTCTTTGATGTGGCTAAACAGCCTGAATCCCCGAGAGAATTTGATCTTTTATTACGTGGTCTGGGCTTGTGGCCCATATAACGCCCGCTCTGATTGGCTCCCTTGATGCTCACAGACCAATTATGAATTATGCGAGTTAGAGCAGACTTTTAACAATTATTCCACGAGCGAGGGTTGGATATGACATGGTAAATAGCTAACAAGGCGTGTAACGCGAAGTTGGCGATGATCAATCTCGTATCCAACGAGCGTGAGTTAAATAATTGTTTCATTAAATTTCATTTAATCCTAAGCGTTTGGATATTTGGAGCCTTTTTCCAGCTCCGCAACAGCTGGCTTAATGCGTATCCAAATAAAGTGACTCAGAATATGAGCAGATGACCGAAGTTGAGTGAATCAGTCAGAACACTAGAATTTCAATATTCTGCGTTGAAAATTTAATGAAAAAGATTATTCGTGGGGTAATGAAAATGATGCCGCTCATTCAAAACGGAATAGTGTCAGCTCCCGATTATCTCAATACGACCGAACCAAGTGGTCAAAGTCCTTTTCAATTGACTGTCGAAACAGCAATATGTGAGTAATCACAACGACCGATCAGAACAAGGAAAAATATCACTTAAGAACAAACAGGCGAAGAGCATGAAGCGCGAGAAAACGCGCGTGACCAAGTTGCAAACAGTTTTAGTTTTGGATCTGATTGGTTCAGAGAGAAAGTGGCGGGAGTTTTCTGGACCAATCACAGAGCTAAGTTAAACAACACCAAAGCAACCTTCAATCACTTTCTGTACTCAGTGAAAGCTGCTCTAATAGAAAGTATTTCTTTCTTTCTCATCTTTGTCTATATGTGTGTCCATCACCCAAAAACCAAGCGTTAAGAGAAACCTGATGCTATTAAGAAAGCTAGTCTTGTTACTCTGTCTGTGCAGAACCTTTAGGATTTCTAACCATTGTTATCTGAGACATGCTCATAAAATCTATCTCTCCTCTTTTCAGGACACAAATGACGTGAGTGGAGAGTTGAAATGAACAAGAAAGAGTGATCTATATGCTTATAATTGTTGCCCTAGAGCTGTAATAAAAGAAATGATCATCAGCTGTTGTTCATTAGTTTGAGTTTTGTATTGTACTTTGCGAATTGAATATCAAAATGACGGAAACCTCGAAATTTGTACCGTTCCGCCTCAAATTCCGAACTCAAAGATGGAACAAGGACCT